ACATGTTTACTTAATACATAAAATATGCTTTTGTTAATAAAATAAAAAGTTTGATATATAGAGACTATTTCCGATTAGTTTTAATAATTCTTAAGTGGTCCTTCATTTATTGGGGGGCACTGTATATATAAAAAATCTTAAGTAATAATAAAATTAAATTAATCTTTTGTAACAGAAAACAAAAAAATTTGAGTAGTAGTTTCAAGTAATAATATGCTTAAAAGGTTGTATTTAAGAGTATTAAAGATATAGAGAACATGGATCAAATTAATTTTACGATTCAATTTTTAAGTTTAAAATAATTATTATATCCAATTCTTTATACAATAACTGTAAATTGATTTTGTTGATTTTTAATAAAATAATGATTATGATTGTTTGAATATAGCAATCATTCATTTTATACATTTTAAATATAGAAAATATTTTTTGTTTTGATATAGTAAATTTAAAGCAAAATCAAAAAAAGTATTGTTTTTCAATTGATAACAATTTTTATTTATTGATTTATTATTTTTGATATTAAAGTTTGTTTTGTAAGTGTATATATGATTTTTGATTTTGACTTTTCTTGTTAATGATGATATTGAAATTGTATATTATTTAATGATTTTCTTTTTCGTTATTTAAAATTATTAAAAATAATCATATTAGTTTTATCATGATGTGATTTTGCTTCAAATTTATACAGTAATGGTTTCCATTACCTAGTTATTATTATTATTTGATAATTATATGGGATTAGGAACAAGTTATTGTGCATGAAACTGTAATATCTTGTTTTATTTGGTTATCGTTTTAATGTTTTAATTATAGTTGCATTTTTCTTGTTATAGGATAAAACTAATCTAATAATTTATAAAGTAAACTTCAAGAGCTTGTTAAGATCCAGTCTCAAACCTAATAAAATCATTTGATCAAACGCGGTGCCCTGAAAAGTATATAAAAAGTTTACTCGGAATCGCACGCGTAGATTAATCAATAGAATAGTGATGTAATAGAGTGTGGGAAATATCTTGTCACTTTTTTCTATTTTTCTGTTTAGAATTAGATTGCCTTTCATATGATTTGTAAATAATATGTATTGTATTTAGTAATTTTTCAAATCAGAATCCTATCTGGAGCCTGTACACATGAACTTGGGAGTGCACGATGAACACCTTCGTCATGTTATTTATTGGCTTATAAGGCATAAAATAGATCAGAAATTTGCATATTCGTATAATTAAACTTTATCGCTATGACAGACTTCCAAGAATTTGATCTTAATTTGCAAATTTTTGGTAAGGAAATTGCAGTTTGATTTTTTTATCTGTTAATTTTTTTTAAAGTGCATAATATACTAAATTTACAAAACAAATTTACTCATTTTTTAAAAAACACAGGAGACCGCATTCTATTAAAGGGACGATCAACACAAATGAACAGGTTTGGGAAATTTCCGAGCAATCAGCTACATCCCAAGTTTTTTATGGTCAAGTCCTTTGGATAACAATGATACACTAGATAATTCTAAGGAACCCAATAACCAGTGAATTTAGATTTCAAGAATTGCCAAAAACCAGTATTTCTTTGGAGGCGGGGACGACCGAATCTTCATATACAGTAACTTATAGTAAATAAAAGATCTCAGGACAATCATTTTAATCTCTACTCCGCCCGAAAGCGATTTGTATTATCGTATTCCTAATTTACTGTATATAAATTGCTCGACTTGAGCAATTATGAAGGTTCAAATGGTCTTGGTATGTTGATTATTACTAAAATGAAATTTCAATCAAATAAACTTGAAATAAAATGGTCCCATCCGGTTTCAAATCAATCTCAGATATAAATTATTCGGCCCTGGATTCTATTTCAGTTAATTTGGTTGGTTGTTATGGAAATCATGCATTGATTGCAAAGCTCTTGTATAAAGAACGTATCATCGACGAGAAAATGCAAGTTAATTATAATTATAGTATGCAGTAACGTTTTTACAGAAAACTTACGAATAAATCACTAAATTTACATCTTATAATAATAATTACTTTATATATACATTACGTAATTTGCTCGTAAATTCTCATTAGAGTCACCTACAGAAAATGAAAACAGACCATCTTTAAGTCCTGGAATCTATTTTCTCATGATGCCGTCACTAAACTTAGGTTTGATTATTCACTGGCATGAATCCAGGTGTTATGAAGAAAAAAATTTCATCTCAAAAAAAGAGAAGATGATAAATTTGCACAGGTAGACGTTAAGGATGAAAAGTTGACAATGTAATTTATTAATCGTGTGCATAGATATCTTACTACAGTAAACTCACGGATCATCAGTTCTGTCTAACGGGTGAATCTGACTTAAAATGTTTTATTTTGGATTATGAAAATGAAGGGAAAGTTTGTTCTAATGTAAATTCCATGACTGTGAGTATGAAGTGAAAATGAGTCAAAATGAAAAGGAAGGAGAATTTGTATATTAGAAAGTAATATGTTTTTGGTATTTTTTCAATTTAGATCCATTTGTCACAGCAAATAATTTCGGAAATTCAAGATGGATATCTACTACAAGGTAATAATTATTTGCAATCTTTCGAAAGCTATTTATTGATGTTAGCAAGAAAATTCATAGTAATCGAATCAACAACCAGCCAGGCATTAGTCGCCCAAAAGAAAATTAATACCGTATCGGAAATTATTAAAGTAACTTGTTACTGTATATGGAACAGAAAAAGTTCAAGGAAGAATTCGAAAAAATGTTTAAGGAAAATGCCTTGCGTATCGGAAAAAATATGGGCATCGAAAATTTAAAGATTTTAATTGAAAATGGATGAAAGAACTTCTCGGTTCTTACCTCAGTGCATTAAAAAGATGCAAAATCACTGTTCGATCAAAAGAAAACGCAAGAAAAGAATTTCATAAAGCAAGACGCTAAAATCTTTGTAAATTATGTTCGAATAAAAATAAAACAAGAATACAGGTATGACACTAATAGTTATTTAAAATTTAGAAAAACTTGGAACGAATTGACATACAATATTGTTATATAATTAGTGCTTTTGAACTATTGATTAACCAAGAATCGACAGAAAATCTTACACACAACTAGTCAATCCGGTGAGTAAATGTATTATTGACTTAATCATATTTTCCCTAATTTTAATAGACTATCTTATTGTATAGATATCGAACGTATTAAATTAAAGTATCCCCCAAAAGTTGCTAAAATAGGAAATGCTTTGAAAATAGATACGAAAAAATGGAAGAAATTAAGAAAGCAATATTACACCTTAAACTTCGTTATACAATATGTAATCAACAAAAGCTCCAGTATAGATCAAGGTGGGACACGCAGTCATCAAGTCGGGATGTTAAGAAATCAATGTGTCTGGCAATGTTCGATATGATTATGGACGAAGAACAGATATAAAACTCGTAAAGAAATATTTGGGGGATTCAGAACAAGACAAAAAAAAAAAATTTTTTTCTGCATCACTATCGTCTCTATATATGAAAATAGATGAGAAGCTTTTCCAAGAGAAACAAAAAATTATCAATGTTTTTTTGGAGAATATAGAAGATAGATGAATGAAACCTTTCCGGAAAATAATCAGAATATCGTTCCTAAATACCCGTGCCGGTCTGATAGTAAAGCAACTATTGAGAAATTGGAAGCAGAGTATTCAAGTATTAAAAATAAAATTGGAGAAGAAGAATTCAACAGAATTTATAATGAAATAGAAAACAAATTTTCTAAAGGGCAAACATGATTATTCTTACTTATTATTGTGATCTTGCTATTATACGCATTATTTTTGACTCGCTTTATTCCATTGCAGGCCGATTTTATCGGTATACGGTATCATAATCCATATTTCGTATGCATATACATTTAGAATAAGAATTATGATACAGTATCTGAGATGCATCTAATCCTCTTACACAGATTACTACCCAAAATACTATTATGTCTCGTATGAAAGAGAAATCATTTAGCCTAATCAACTCAAAATTACGATTTACCAAACATCAAAATTCTTTCCCCAAATTCATGAAATCAGGTAAATCTGTGAAAAAATGTTATTGTACTTAAAATAATCCCAATCACCTTTGTCCCAATATCTAATCCACCCAAAATATTCAAAATATTACTTCCCGAAAAAAACACCCTCGTTTCTGTGAATGAGCCTAAAGGTTTAATTGGACTCTGTAACGTTGATCAGGAGTTGTAGGTCATCGCTGTGCGAGTTATAATCACTTCAGTTTCAATATCTTATATACTATAACTTATAATACCAATCTTGCCTTTTAGCTAAATGTTTGGGCGCTTGATAAGAAATTTAGTACTCTTTACTCACATGCAGCGAATATTCAATTGGTTCAATGGTATCATAATATTGTTCCAGCAATTCAATAATTTTTCTTTATCAAGATACCGAACATATATGTTTCATTAAGAAGAATGGTCGCACCAGAATTTATATCATAATATCAAAAAAGTTTAAGAAAGTTTACTGTTTAAAGTTTATTTTGAAAATTTTTGATAAATTGTTCTAAAAGTTTATTAACAAAAGGTATAAGAAACTTTAATGTATAATAAAAGCTTATAATGATCTGAAAAATTATTATATTTATTTTTTGATTTTTTAATAAATTTTTATTAAGTTTATTTAAAAATATATTACTGTTTATTAATAATTATTTTTTGAAAGCTAGTTGATAAATTGTTCTTAAAAGTTTATCAAAAAAAAGTTCATTGTTTTAAAAAATTTATTTTTGTAAGTTTATTGATAATTATTTTTAACAGTATACTGTTTTTAATTTATTAAAAGTTCATTGTTTATAAACATTATCAATAAAACTTATTTTGAAAGTTTTGGTAACTTTTCTTAAGGTTTATTGTTTAAGATTATTTTTTTTTGAACATTTGACAATAAATTGTTTCGGAAGTTTATTAATAATAGCTTACTATTAAAAAATTTATTGTATAAATAAATAAATATCTATATATTGTATTTTCTTTTATTTTTAATTTTTTAATTTCTTTTAAAGTCTTTACAATGATTAAAAACAATTTCAATTCATAAAATTTTTAAAAGATTGACTTATTTAAAACAATAATATTCTTGTAATTCATTGGATTTCTTATTACTATATAAAGAAAATTTATTTTTATTTGAAAAAAAATTAAATGATACTTTAATATATTTAAAGAATTAATTAATAAAAATTTATCTTATAATAATAATAAAATAAAATAAAATAATTTATAGAACTTAATTAAAAAAATAATTGCTAATAATTCTAATTATTTATTGATAAATTTTTAATAGAATCAATCAATAAATTTTTATCTATGTATTGTTATACTTGATCTTCACTCAACATTTTATTTACCCTTGTGACAATCCACTAGCATTTGGCCTCTGAAATATTATCTTCTTGTTTTAGAATTTTTGTATCATTAATTTACTGTAATACCTTCGCCTATTTTGCCTACTTAGTCATCTTTTCTTATTCTGAAATATTCTTTAATTTTACTTACTATTATCACTTTGCTATCTTTGCCAGAGTATTCATCTTTATCAATGTTAGTATATTTGACTATTTTAATGAAAATACCATCTCTTCTATAGCTATTATCTTTACTAAAATATACTATTATTATATATGCAAATTATATATTAAAAATATATACAATATATAAATATCTCCAATTCCTCCAGGAATTGCAAGGTTGAACTTTCCTCTTTATTAGTAAATAACTTGACCTTTACAAAACAAATTACTATTGTCTCTTTTGCTTAACCTTATACACCTCAGAACTGTATTGATTTTAATACACCCTTATGAACTTTAGTATATTATATTGGTTCATTCATACAAAGTGTCTTCCTGCTACTAGTTCTCCATCTATATCTTTCTCCTAAGGTAGAATGATATATGACAGCACTAAATGTACTAAGTTTAGTATTAATTTTATGATAATTGCATTGTTACTTTGTATTAATATTTATATTTAATTGTAAAATTTAGAGATAGTCAGTAACTACTAAATAGTATTCTAATTTCAAAATTCAATTTTTAACAAAAAAACAAGATATATGGACAATGCTATGCAAATATAATAACTCTTTTTTTGTACTTTTAAATGAATATAAATTTGTATAAATTTGTATATGGATTAATGTTTAACAAATTTTCAAATATTCAAGTTGCATATTTTAATTTTAACATTTTTGTGAAATAAATGTTGGCTCTAGATAAATTTATAATTTTAGTATCTAGCATATTACAATTTTTTGTATGTGTTACTTATAATATGCACTAAATTCAATATTAGTTTCATGATAATTGAAATGCTTGTTATGTCAATATTCCAATTTAATTACAAATGTAGAAGGTGGTTGATAACTTTTGAGATGGGAGTGTATAATAGTAATGTTGTTTAGTATTATGAAAAATGGGTTTGATTTTGTGATTTTTGCTTTTAAATAACAAAGAATATGTCTTTCACTTGTTAAAGATTTAATAAATTGAATAGCTTTACTCTGTCATTAAAGCCTCTAATATTAAGTATAGAGATTATAATAAGATTTTTAAAAAAAGATGTGAATATGAGAGAAGTATTGTTAGAAGATAATGTAGTCATTATAATTATAAAAAAGGTATTATTGATTGGAATATGTTTGAATGATTGACTTGAGTTGGTCATAGTTATATTTATGATTAAATAAACTTGGATAAGAGAGTCAGGTCTGGTTTAGATGACTTTGGTTCAACAAGAAATTCTGCTGGAAGTTTTTCAAAGTGGAACAATTTTCTGAGAGGTTTGATTTTATTTGTAAGAGTTTTATCCTCAATTATTGAAAGAAATAATATAATATTTTTAGTTTTAAGCATTTCTTGTATAATGATTAGATTGAAGAGATCAGGCAAAAGTGAAGAAATCCATTCTTTTGAAATTTTTCCTGTATAGTTGTCTTTGATTCTTCTAATTGTTGAGTTAAATTCTGAATGGTTTCTGTTGAGATTTTTGCTTGTAACCCCTAGCTCTTCTTTTATCTAAGAGAATTTTTCTGGAATGTTAGGTTTTTCTAATTGAACCAAACCTTCTTTGATCCATTCGGGACCTAAAGAAAGTTTATTTGTTTCTGAATTGTTTAATGAAATCTTTGATCTCATCTTGATTAATAATAAATAAAATGTTGCTATTGTTTTCATTGTATCAGTATACTGGTGGCAGAAGTCTTTTGGCTTTAATATAGTTCTATAGTAATCTTTTAAGTACATAGTTTTTATCTCTAAGGATTTGAATGGCTTCTAAAATTTTTTCTAAATTGTTGTCCACTGGTAAGTAGTGGACAATATAATTTGATAGCTCTGTATAGAATAAGAGAAGGAATTGCTTAGATGGTAATAGATTAAAGTATAATTCAGGTAGTTTTATTAAGGACATAATAATGGTTTCTTAATTTACTAATTAGATTATACAAGTTTCTCAAGTCAGATTTGTTTATAAGAGAGAAAATGCCTTGAACTTCTGTTTTAAGCTCAATAGGATTTTTTGAAAGATTTTGCTTTTGTACAAAAAAAGAAGAGGGGAGTAAGTTAAAGTTGTAATAGGCTTTGAGATATTCTGTTACCACTTTGGTGAATTTAGAAAAGGTAATAGAAATAGCTTTTAGTAGTTTGATTTTAACTGATGATAAAATTTCATTAGATATCTCAGAAAGATTTTATAACTTCATTTTAATTAGTTCATCACATTTGTTATATAATTCTTGGTAATCTACTTTTGTAAACAAAGGGTCAAAGAAAAAATTGAAGCCCTATTTCAGAAGTTATACAACTTGTCGGTATTTTAGTTTTGTGAGATTGGTTAATTTAAGATAAGTTGCAAATAGTGCTTTGTTAATAATGACTCTAATTTTTTTTCTCATTGTTCTGGTGATATAACCAATATTGTTTGCCTTGAGGTAGTTAGCTTTAAACACATTCTCAATTTTTTCATATTCAAGTTGATAATGACCTTTGATTAGTTTGTTTTTGGTAAAGGTTCTGAAAAAAGTCTCTGTTTTTATACCCGATTTTAATAAAAATGGTCCTTAATGATGATTTAAAGAAGCTTTTGAGTTATCTCTGAATTTGATAAAGAGATTCAAAATGGCCTTTAGGGTTCTGAATTAATATTACGAATATTATTAGCAAATTAATTGTTGACTATAATTAATAATTTAGTCTCAGTTTCATTAGCCCAGGATATAAAGTTGGTTACAGTTAATAATTATGGCTTAGTTTGTGTAGGGGTTATTAATTTCCATTTCAAAAATATTTTGTGTATTGCTCAAATTGATATTACTCTTATATAGAAAGATAGGAGTACTTCATTGCTTGTTTCAGGTTCAATGCATATATGAGTTATTTCAAGATTAAATGAGGTTTGTGCATAGCTATTGTCTAATGATAGTATAGGAGTAAATGCAGGGATTGTTTCAGGAAAAGAATCAGATTGCATGATATTGTCGTTACTCATTTCATTGATTATTTCCTTAGTTGATACAAGTGTATTTGAAGGGGATAAAGGTGTTTTGATTTTTTTATCCAGAGTAAAAGTTTAATTTTTTTTAAAAATAGTAATATTGAATTTCTTCCAAGGGATATATAAGCCATAGTTGAGACTGTGTTTCAATTTCTTTTATAATATCTATTTTGTTATTATTAGTAATTTGGAAAATATGTTGAAAGTCCAAGAATAAGTTAAGGTTTT